GTGTGTGTGTTAGGTGAGATGAGTCTACTGCACCTTGCGATGCAGCGAGCCGCGTTTATATAAGACACAACATACATAATGCCAATAACACAGACATCACAACATTGAACGAATCACACCATGATCCAAGCGAATATTCCATTCGACTGGGTATGCACGACCTCACTGACTTCCCTAAAAGGACACAACGACTAGAGCCCGAGGGCACTGAGCCTTAAGCTGAAACAAACAATACGCAACACCTAGGGGAAGGCAGAAAAAAGACAGTGAGGAAACAAAAAAGGCATGCGGCATCAACAAAGGGCGAAGGTTGGAGGGCAAGGGGGAGGCGGGGAGGCGGACAGACAACATGCCGCACAGCGAACAACACAAAGCAGCAAAGCATATAGGCTGGAGGGCACGGGGGTGGCGGGTGAGCAGGCAAACGGCACACAGCAACAAAGCACCCTGGGTGAAAAGCATGAGGTAGACGGATGGGCAAACAAACAGGGTAAGGCAGCCAAGGAAACAACAACCAGACAAACAACGACAATGCAAAAACAACACCCAAAAAAAATACAAGTATAAACCAAGCAAAGACTGAAAAAATAAATAAGCAGATGATGAAAGATTGTTTCGTCGGAGTTGCACCGACTCATCAGGAGGCTGAACCCTCGACAATCTACGGAATCCCCGTATTTGATGGTTTGGGTCATGAACCCTTTGAAGGCAGACTGTCCCCAAGAGGAACATAGCAGTGGGCAGCAACCCTGTGAAGCACCAGGCAACACAGTAGAGGCAACACGGCTACACAACGCCAAAAACGACTGCAGGGAACAACACGGCACGCCGAACTCGCAGCAGGGCACCCAAGCAGTGAAGCACGAGGCAACACTACCAAGACAACCACACTGCAAGGGACGAGAGGACAAGCGGACCAGCAGCAGAGCGACCATGCTGAGGGACACAAGGCAACCCCAACACGACAACCAAACTACAGGGCGCTCAAGCAAAGGACCCGGAAGGCACGACCAGCAGGCGGGCGGCAAGGCAGCGAAGCAGCGAAGCAGCGAAGCAGCGAAGCACAAGGCAACACCACAACCCAGCCACACCACACAGCGAAGACAGCAGCATGCCAAGAACAACCTGYGRGGCAAGCGGAACGGGCAGCAAGGYRGTGGTAGAGCGCAGACGGGGTCGTCCACACATCCAACACGGAGCAAAGCAGCACATCACCTACTCACATCACGGGTGAACCCCACAGACTGTTGGTTCCCACCACCCACTGAGCCACGAAGACACTCCGACGAGCATCCGTCATCACCTACAGGCAACACAGACATCCCGAACCGAGCGCCCCCCTAAGAGTGCAGTTGGCACTCCAAACGAGGAACCACCGACTGTTTGGCACTACCTAAGGGTGCTCAGACGAGCACACAAAAAAACTTAGAAAAAATCAGAGAGATGACAAACAACAAAAGAAAAGAATGACAGACATAAAACTGATTGTGTGTGTGTGTGTGTGTGTGTGTGCCAGGGGGAGGGGAGGGGTCCTCCCTTCCCCACCAATTAATCAATCAATCAATCAATCAGTCAATCAATCAATCAATCAATCAATCAATCAATCAACCAAAAAAACAATCAATCAATCAATATTTATTTATTTTTCTACTTTAATTTTTTTTTTGTCACACACCAAAAACCACCCCCCTAAAATTTCACTTTTTTTTTTTTTTTTTAGTGGCTTCCGGAGGGGGACGCCATGCACAGGCGATGCGTGCGCCCCGTTTTCGGGCGCGCGGCTGCAAATTTGCTCGGCCGCGCAGCCTAGGCCGCGGGGTAGCAACCGGCCTCCTCGGCTGCGTACGAGGCTGCAGGATCCGCGGCCGTGGGGGTCACGTAGGCATCAGGGACGTTGAACACGACATCCCGCCGGTCGTCGAGTATAAAGCTCCGCACAGCGGGAACCGGCCGTATTGACGTGACGATCACCAGCTCCTTGCTTTCCATGATCGTTCTACGGTGGACGTCGTATGTTGTGCTGCGCACAGGCGGTTGAGGTCGGTTGTGCCTGGTGGGAGGAGTGCAGTTTTGTATTAGCGGCGTGTTTGAAAGGGGTGCTCATAGCGGGGCTCAACTTCGTCTCCTTAGTGGATTGCAGCGCACATGGAGGTTGATGTGGCGTTGTGGGGGCGGGTCTTGGGTCGCTCCGTCGTCTTCTACGAGATGCGGCACCTGCGTGGGAAGGACTATGGGAGGGACTTCGGTTTTGAGAACGGGGTCTCCAAACATGACATTCGACATTACGAGATCGACGCGGGTGGAGACACGTGCCTCCATCTAACGGTAGGTTTTGGATTTGGCAGACGGCTCCTTCGGCAGGTGGTCGTTTTCACGCAAAAGGTGGGCGCAACCATCCCCAAGCGTTGGGCAGGAGGTGTGGACGTGTTGGCAGACATCATCGACCTACTCGCATCGAACGTGGCGATGGGGTACTCAGGCCGCCTCCACGACCCGACGTTGTACGTCGTCCATTCTGATCCGCCTTTCGCCAATCGCGAGTATTTGCACGGCGAATACGGATCATTGTGGACGACTTCTACTGAGCTCAGCGATGGCGACCATGACACAATGACGGGAGACATGTCCGTTGAGTTGGTTTCAATACCTCTTTTGCGACTCTTTTGTGTGCATCCACACGTGCGGGAGACAGGCAGTGACGCAAGAGAGAGAGAGAGAGAGAGAGAGAGAGAGAGAGAGAGAGAGAGAGAGAGAGAGAGAGAGAGAGAGAGAGAGAGAGAGAGAGAGAGAGA